ACATATACATATATATATAAAACAAAACTTATCACACTCAGAACGAAACAACAAATGTTATGAGCTGCTGTTTGTGATAAAGAATTGGATGGGAGCATTGCTCGTCTAAAAAACTGGTATTTCTTGTTTATGATGCATGATATTCCACATTTCTTCTAGTTATACTGTATATCTATATTGAATTTAACGTTCACTAGTTCACCAGTGGTTTACTATTCACACTAGTTTTAAGATTGGGCTTAAGACTTTCCTTTTTGATAAATCCTATAGTTAGATTGGCTTGGGTTTCCTGTGCTATCCCTTATTATGCTGCTATAGGCTTAGACTGCTGGAGGACAAACTGACCGCATTACTTCACTCTGCTGCTGTCTTTACTTACTCTGCTCAACCTGTTTTGCATTTGTAATTATTTCTATCCTTGTTTTTTGGTCTTTCTTCTAAAAGGAGCTACATCTACACCTGAACCTGCCATTGTGTATCTGTTCTTCCTTCCTGTCCTCTCAAACTCAGCCGGTCAAAGCAGATGGCTGCTTGTCCTGAAACTGGTTCTGCTAAAGGTTTCTTCCTGTTGAAAGGGAGTTTTTTTCTTTCCACTGTTGCCTTTATGCTTGCTCAGGATAGGAGACTGCGACAAAGTGAAGATTCAACGAGTCTGATGTTATCATCCATTAATGGTCACTATTAGTTGTTATCCCTATACGTAGCGTTCAGACTGCCCCTCCTCTGCCTCCTAGTAGGTTTAAAGGTATGTTCATATCGCTGATAATACGGTCACATATAGGTTAAGAGTCAAGGGTAAGGGGGTTAAGTTTAGGGTCAGATGTCTAAGCTAACTAAAATACACTTCCGGTTTTACACGTGAGACGCGATGCAGATTATCACGGATAAAAACGTAACTTTAAACCTAGTAGGAGGGAACAGTCTGAACGCTTCCTATGGGGATGATAACAACTAATAATGTCCATTTAATGGACTGATAACATCCTAAACCGCTGCACTGCATGTGGGCGGGGTCATCCTTCAGGTTGTTTTCGTTGCTGTTGTTTTTGACTAAATGGAAGAAGTGAACTGCACGTGAAGTTTATTGTTTCATCGTATTTTCCTCAGTGAGACAGTCGGCGACAGGAAGCAGGTTTTTATGGTTGGCTCATGTGCTGAGCTGTCAGCATTCTGTCAGCCTCTCAGGTCAGAGTCTCCCTGCAGTGAGGACTTTACCTCACAGCTATCAAACCCTCCTCTGAGCAGAGCTTATCGGTGCGTGGAACGTGCGTGTGCTCTTATTCAAAGGTGTGCTCATACATGAAATTCCTTTTTAGGCTGGACGGTGGCTGAATGAGTGGTGCCGATCACAAACCAGCACAGTGAGGTCATACTTTATCTTGACTTTCAGTGCTTATCTTAGAGGAATTAAAGGGACATCTTGAACCTTTTGAAGTTCTGAACAATAAATAGCTTACCTATCTTAATATCTTGTAGATAGCTCATCGAATGACGTTAATTTGGAAAAAGAGAGTTTAAATATGACAGGACTGATGTGCTAGTGGCTGCTGTGAAATTGATATCAATGTAAAGATTTAAATGATAGCGTTAGTGAAGACTGGATTTTGCTTTAAAACAAGTGTCTCTGAGCAAGACACCTAATCCCTAATTGCTCCCTGGGCACTTACATAGCTGCCCACTGCTCCACCTGGGTGTACCCCAGGTGTGATGGGTTAAATGCAGAGAATTAATTTCACCATTGTATGGGAACATACAAGGATGACAACACATAGCACTTTACTTTACTTAAAATCTTAAGTGCCGGCTTTGGTAAGCCAGGGTCAGAGCACCAAGGCCCACGTCTTTGGCTGCCACCCATGGGTGGGTGTATGGCCGTACGGCTCCTCCTGCAGGTGGTAGGCAAACCCACGAAACTCAGTTGGGCTGAGCTCGACCGGGCCCCATGAATAGAGGCCTGGTCACCAGGCGCTCATCGATTAACCCACGTCCGTGCGAGAGACATTGAACTACTTGCTGTCTTCTGTCCATATACGTATTGTGAATCGCTCTTTGACCTGTCACCTAGGACCAATCCGCCATCCTACGGAGACGTTGCGAGCATGTCCATTTTGAAAAAGACCACGGGGAAGTATCGGGACATGCTGGAGAGACTATGTCTCTCGGCTAAGAGCTGGAAGAGGTGGCTATGGAAGAGATGTCTGGACCTCCCTGATCAAAATGCTGGTTGGATGGATGGATGGATGGATGGATGGATAGATGGATGGATGGATGGATGGATAGATGGATGGATGGATGGATGGATGGATAACAAAACCCACTTTGGAATGTGTGGGACCATAATAATGAGCTAATATTGCTTGTCTGAGCAGACCAATGTCCAAATTGGACTTTACTGTCCTATACCATGCTAAACTTATATGTTTTAAAGCAGTTCTTACAAATACTATTATTTAAACCTGTACATCGCTCTTAGTTTCACATTTAATAGTTAATCCAACCAAAATATTGAACAACTTTTTCCTGAAGAGACCCCCAGGCTGGCCTGTAATCGTTACAACAAGCTGTATTTGCACGAGCAGCTATCAGATATTTGAGGTCAGAGTTGTTTTACAGTGGCAGCGATCCACTTCAGCCCTTGTTGCATTTAAACTAGTCATCAGCTGGTGAGTCTTGTCGGATATTTAAAAATATATATATCCCAAATGAGGTTCAAAAAGCTATCTAGAACAGGTAAGATATTAACTGTTCATTTACCTTTCCACAAAACTCTTCTTTAAAATTATCTAAACGTATTTTTAATCAGCTGTTTGTGTGACTTTGACAGCAGCTGAAGTGTTTTTCCACAATTTGTTCGAGGAGTTTGATATTTTAGTTTAGGTGTAAGTTTGCCAATCAATACGGAGAGATTTTGTCTCACTCATGAGGAAAATGTGTTTTTTCATGACTTCTCACACTTGAGCAGGATTTGCAAATCACTGCTTCTTGAATTGAGTAAAATAGTTTTTCCCCCGCCGACTATTCCCAACTTAAGATTTGAGGATGGATCAGTTCCTCTTTCGTCTAGTCAGCACAAAGAGCTGCTGACCGCAGCCTTGGTGTCACCACGTTTCACTTCTCCAGTCCCAGACGCTCACATGCTCAGATGTGAAACTGCAACAGACTTAACCCATGCCACCACCACCCCCCTGAAGTGTACTCACATATGCAAGCAGCAGCCAGGAGCCTGTTGGCCACGTACGGAGCTATGCAGGTGGGGAAGATGGGCTGCACCATGTAGTTGGAGAAGGTGATGGCGATGACCGCCTGGCTGGTCGGCTCGATGATCAACAGGGACGTCCATATGCGGATGAAGGCCAGAAACCCTCCGAAGGCCTCCAGGATGTAGGCGTAGGAAGCTCCAGACTTGGTGATGGTGGTCCCCAGTTCGGCGTAGCACAGCGCCCCGAACACGGAGAAGATCCCTCCGATGGTCCACACCACCAGGGAGAGGCCGTAGGAGGCGCTGTGGATCAGGACGCCTTTAGGGGACACGAAGATGCCCGAGCCGATCATGTTCCCCACAATCAGACAGACCCCGTTCAGGAGGGAGATCTCCTTCTTCAGCTTCATGGACTCCTCGGAGGCTTCCGATTTTACGGACGGCGGGCCCCCGTTGGCCCCTTCGTGCGTGGCCACAGGGCTGTAGGACGCCATTGTTCAAGTTCACTTGTCAAACACTTTTATTAGGATGAAACTTCAGTCACAAAACAACTTTTTTTGCCTTGACGCAAGGCCGACGATTGACTCTTTCCCTTCGGTTATCTGTGTTTATCTCCCGCCATCTGTGGAAGCAACACACAAGGTCACATCAGCATCACCATGGAAACCAGTTTCTCATACAGCAAACGTGCAACAAACGCTTGTGTCGTTTGAATCCACCTCTAAGCCGATCCAATATAAAACCATATTTACATGCCACGGGCTCTAACCGAAGAACAAACTGGAAAACGAATATAACGACCCTGCTGTGGACTCTGCTGGATTTGACAGCAGTTTGGTGGATCGGAGAGCCATTAGGCCGCACGGCAAATGGCCTTTTAAGGTTGAGTGTATTTACCAAGAGACAGGGGGGGAGCAAACATGCCTGAAAACACCAGCTCCTCGTCAGAAGCCATAAAGCCGAGGAGGAAAACCTGACAGAGACAGAGACGCCCACAGATCCACGTTTTTAAGAGTGTCAGCAGAGTGACAGGTCACATGATTTCCAAAGTTCATCATCCTCAGCGGAGGAAGAGTTTGATGATGAGGCGCACGACTCAGGCAGAATGTTCATTCGCCTCTCCACATGAGGAGCGACGATAAGTTATTGTCTCCATGTCTTATTACACTCCAGATTTACAGATTTCCCCTAAAATTTGATGATTTGTGAATGGAGTTCTGAATGAAAAAAATGACTACAGATATTTTATAGTACTTTTCTCAGCCAAACTACCAAATTGTTTTTCTTGATGAATAACTAAAATAAGATATGCCTCTCCGTGTTATTACAGGCTTCAGATATCTAGAATTACTTTAAGGAATGGTAAATTTTATAAGAAAAATAGCTACACAGAGGGGAGAGGTAAGTCTGGGCCTCCCTACTTACTGTAGGCTGCTACCCCCACAACCCGACCCTGGATAAGCGTAAGAGAATGGATGGAAGAACAATATTTATTTTTAGTAATTCTTAGTCCATCCACATTTTATCTTTGACACACAAAAACATAATTGTCTCTTCATCTGATTAAGCTCCAGATTTCCAGAACTACTTTAAATTAAATTAAAAGTAAATTGAGTTTTTGAATGAGAAATATGTCATACCTACAGTAAATATTGTTGGTACTTTTGTCTGTTTCAGTCCATCTAATTATTGATGAATAGTAAGTAAATGTCTCTCCATCTTTGGCTCCACAGTTCTAAAATCTGTTTAAATTGGGTTAAATCTCAATGGAGTTTTGAATTATAAAACAAATATTGCTCTTTTGTGCTAATCCATCCAAAGTTTCTCCTTGATGAATGACAGTCTATCAATCTGTCCATTTTCTTACAAGATTGCAGGGAGCTGAAGTCAGTCACTGTGCAAGAGGCGGGGGACTCGGTGGACAGGTCCATCACAGGGACACAGAGACAAACGAGACAAACAACCATTCACTCTGTCACTCACACTTAGGGACAATTTAGGGTCATCAATCAGCATGTATTGATCTGTGGGAGGAAACCGGAGTACCCAGAGAAAACCCATGCATGAACAAGGAGAACATGTGAACTCCACACTGAAATGCTCCATGAGGGAGGCGAGCGTCTGACCTTTTTGCAGCAAAGCGACAGCTCTAACCACTGTTCCACTGTGCCACCCATAACAAGAACAGTTTTCAATTGAATTCAGTTTATTTATATAGTGTCAAGTCACAACAGAAGTCATCTCAGGGCACCGGGCAGAAACATTCATATGCATAAAAAGTAAGTTAATAACATTATTTATTTGAGGAGCAGACAGCTTTGAGTTTAACTTCATCGCAGACTCTCTAGTAAGCAAGCATGAAGGCGACAGTGGAAAGAGAAAACTCCTTCATGAGGAAGAAACCTCCAGCATGAAGCTATTATTTTTGACAACTCAGAGTGTTCAACAAGATAAAAACAGTCCAAACATAAATCAGGTTCTAGTGACATTTTTAAAGTTGCCTCATCTGATAAGGAACCAGAGGCGATAGTAGGAAGATTGGTTTGAATTTTCTCCCTAATTGAAATAATTTTATTTATCAAGAATCTCATGAAGTCATCACTGCTTATAGTTGTAGGGATACAAGTTTCAACAGAGATGGGATTTTCGTTAGACTAGCAAAGGTACTGAAAAGGAACCTGGGGTTATTTTATGCTCATCAATTAAAGATGAATAATATACAGTTCTAGCTTTATGGAGAGCTTTCTTATAAGTTAGCAGGCTATCTTTCCAAATTATTCAACATTAGTGGAGCACCATTTTCTTTCCAGCTTTCTAGATGTCTGTTTTAAAGTATGTAACTCAGAATTGAAAAAAGGAGCTAGTTTCCTCTGACTGATTACTTTCTTTTTCAGCAGAGTAGCTTTATCGAGTGAAGTTTGCAAAGAAGTTGTAAATTTATCAACCAGATGATCTAAGTCTGATGTATTACTCTGCAAGACAGAGGAAAATGATTAAAGAGAATCTTTAAATTTGGTGACAGTGTTTTCTGATAAGCACCTGCTAAGGTGAAATTTACTCTGAGTGACTGTGTAGTCATTTAATTTAAACTAAAAGGTTATTAAAAAAATGATCAGACAAAACAGGATTTTGAAGATGCATTACTAAGGCCTTAATCTCTATGCCATAAATGAGAACCAGGTCAAGAGTGTGATGATGTGAATGAGTAGATGTGTGGACATTTTAGGTAAAACCAATTGACTCTATTAAATTTTTAAAGGCAATGCTTGATCTATCACGTTCAACATCTACATGAATATTGAAATCTCTCATCGTTATGACTTTATCAGTATTTAGTAATAAGTCAGTTAAGAAGTCTGAGAATTCAGACAAAACTGAGCATAGGAGCCTGGTGGATGATATATAACAACTTGTGAAAGCGGCATGTCTCTTTGTAATAGGCTCCAGATTTCCAGAATGGCCTTAAATTTAGTGAATGGAGTTTTGATGAAGACAGTGGTTACTATTTTAAGAGAGTGGTGAAGGCTGCACAGAAGACTGTCGGAGTCAGCCTCCCCACCATCACAGACATCTACACCTCCTGTTACAGGAAGAGAGCCACCTGCATCATGAAAGACCCCACTCACCCAGCACACACACTTTTTGCTATGCTCCCTGCAGGCAGGAGGTTACGGAGCATTAAGTGTAGAACCACTAGACTGAGAAACAGCTTCTACCCTGAAGCTGTTAGACTCATAAATCCCTAACCAGAAAAAAAAACATTGGTGATGTCACTTTATCTGATTATCCATGCTGCTGATTTCTTACCTTTAAGCTGCTATTTCCATACCCATCTGCTCACAACAGACTTATGTTCATGCTGCTGTTTAATATATTGTATTATTTTACATTATCATTGTTTAGCATATATCTTATATCCTTGTATACTGTTTCTTATACTTTATATTTTTGCTTTTTTTGGATGTAACCGGGACACTGAGCACATAATTTTGTTCCACCTCATGTACCACATGTGAAGCAAATGACAATAAAGAACAACCTTGAAGTACATTTTAGTGACAATTGATCCAAACTTGAACCTTGATGAACAACAATGATAATTTAGTTTCTCTTCGTGTTACTAGGCTCCAGGAATTAACCTAAACGTGATTAAACGTGAAGGAAGTTTTGAATGGGAAAATGGCTACATATATTATTACTAAACTGGTCCAACAATAAAATATTGTCTTTTATTATTATTAGGCTATAGAGTTCTCAAACTCTCCTGATTCTAATGAAATCGGAAAGGAATTTCGCATGAGAAAATGACGACGCACATCTTTTTCCCTACTTTGTTTTTGAACCGTTTCATCGGTTTTATCTTTGATGTCCTCCTTATGATGAGAAACAAACATAAGTTCAGTAAATGAGCAACATAGGATCTACGCCTGCATTAAAAAATACACACCTAAAGATACAGACCTACAGGTAGATAGAACAATGTACTATGAAATGAATTAATCTGGCAAGTTCTGGTGAGGCTCAAGATCATCCAACCTGTCCAGATAACCTGATGAGCACACACACTTAAAAAAAAAAAAACCTTACTTAGTCCGAAACTGTGAATGAAAATCAGCACGAGCTGTCAAAGTGAAGCTTTTAGGGAGAAAGTGAGAGGATGAGTGGTTCAGATACCTCCAGCAGCAGAACAGCAGCACGTGGCTTCTTCATGGAGTCGTTCCAGAGAAGGACAGCAGATTGAGCCGAAGTCACAGAAGCAGCGAGGTGAATCAGAGAGCAAGGTCCAAGGGCAGCTGATAAGTACTTCTTCATGTGCCCAAGTTTACATCCTGGATCCAGACAAAAAAACAACCTCTCTACTCAACTCTTCATCGTGATAAGGATTATTTCAGAGGCAAAATAGCAAAAGTAAAGACAAATAATGTAAATGTCATGAGGCAGATCTTATAGATGACTCACCTGGTTACATCGTGTCCAGCTCTGCACCTCCGCTTTTCTGTTTTCAACCTAAAATACAGAAGGTTCCCTTACTTTTACACTTCAAATGGCACTACAAGTTAATAAATGATGAGCTGAGTGATGAGCAGAGATCCTCCTGTTTAAAACCATTACAGCAGCAGCTGTGGGAGAAAAACCCACCTGGTCCAGCTGCTCCTCTCAGGTGTGTAAAATCACTGCACCAGTCCTGGTAATGCTCATAAATGATGTCTGATTCTCTGAGCCATCCTTGTTCTCTGTGTTTCAGTGGATGAACCTCCTCTTCCTCCTGCTGTTTCCTCCAGAGTTCAACCAGCTGATTCTTGCAGCTTTTATGCTTCTGCTTTGTGACGAGTTACTATCAAGGAAGCGGGTCAGAGGAGGTGGGGGCAGTTCTGGGTCCTCGGAGTCACTTTCAGCTCGATTATTAATGCCTGGCATGAAAATGTCAACAACAAACAGGTGCTGTCAGTGTTTTAAAGCGAAGCGTGCTGCTGCCAGAATCACTGATTCAGTCATTTTTAAGGCACGCAATAAAACAAGTAAAAAATATATTTTACAGTAAAAAAAAAGGCACTTATTATGAGAGATACACTGATAAATGACAACGTGTGGTATTTGCTTTCAAATGCTAATGCTAACAAGCTAGGCTATATGTAAAAAACAAGTTAAGGTTTAAAAACAAAATAGGTCTGCTAAATTTTTAATATTGTTTAACATAAGGTTAAAAAAAATAGACGTGTGCTTATTATATTATGAAATGGTAGTTGTCCTGATTTGTTTGCCATTGAACAATGGCGCCATCTGATGGCTTGAAAATAAAACAACAAAAATAAGACACGGACAGCTGTTCTTTTTGGTGGCTTGTCGGACTGAAGAAGTCCTTTGGATGAAGGACGAAACGTCTCAGCAAAAAAAAAAAAAAAAGATGACCCGACTGAACAATGTTGTATTTTTATATCTGGGTTATTGAGCATGAACTTTTGTGTTTTGAAGACATGGAAACATCTTGTCCACTTTGACTGACAAACTTTAATACAAATTCATTCAACCTTTATTTAGACAGGTAAATCCCATTGAGCCTCGAGGACTCATTTACAATAGAGACCTGATTTCAACAAAGAATGATGACAACAATGGACAACAATAAGGCGTACAGATTTTAAATAAGATGGCAAAAAGTGTAACAAAAACAGATAATTTCTAAGGCGAATGTAGAAAACTAAAAACAGGAACATGTCTGCATTGGACCCTGCCAGGTGTCCAACAGGTTCTTAAAGCCACTTAGAGAGGTCAAGGTCGAGAGCTTCAAATCTTTTTGTAAGATATTCCAGGAAACAGGAGTGGAGTAGGAGAAGGCCCTTTTGCCAAGTTCAGTCCTCACTGAGGGAACACTGCAGGTAATAATGTCCTGAGAGTGCACGCTGTAGCTGCACTCACGCAGAGACATGTAGGAGGAGATGTATGAAGACAACAGACCAGGAAGTGATTTAAAGATGAAAATGTACCAGTGAGAGAGTCTGCGTGAAGTTAATGATGACCAGTTAATCAGTGAATACAGGGTGCAGTGGTGGGTACGATAATCACAGTCAGTTATGAATCTTAGTGTACCATGATAGACAGCATCCAACATCTGCAGGGTTCTTGTAAGAGCATTCATGTAAATAATGTCACTGTAATCAATGGAGGGAAGGAAAGTTACAGTTACAAGGTGTTTCCTAGCATTCAGGGTTAGACAGGATCTGTTTCTGAAAAAGAAACCCAGTTTAACTTTCAGTTTCTTTATCAAGTTTTCCACATGGAGCTTAAAAGAGAGATGCGAGTCGACCAAGATACCCAAATATTTATAGGAATCAACAAACTCAATGGGGACATCATTTGAGGATAAATTCAGAGGAAGAACTGCTGGGACCAACTTCCTGTTTGAAAAAAGCATCCCTTTGGTTTTATTGGCATTTAAGACAAGTTTGAGGCGGAACAAATCAGTCTGGATGATGTTGAATGCGGATTGCAAAGGCTGGAAAGCCTTAGCAACAGTTTTAGCTCAACAATAAACAACTGTGTCATCAGCATAGAAATGTTAGGATGCATCAAGGATGCTCTGACCTACATTATCTATGTAGATTGTAAAGAGGGTGGGTCCTAAGACTGAGCCTTGTGGTACACCATTGTTGACTGTTAAATAACTGGAGGAAGTACCATTATGTTGAACTCATTGCCTCCGGTCTGAAAGATAGTTAGAGAACCAACCAATGGTGTGTTCTGAGAAACTGATTTCTGAGAGTTTATGACACAAGATGTTCTGATCCACAGTGTCAAATAAGTGCGGCACAATAATCCTTAGCATCCGGTGCTTCAGCAACGTCATTAAGAACCTTCAGTGAAGCAGTCGTTGTGTTGTTTCCTGAAGCCAGACTGATGGAGAGGTAAGATGTTAAATGAGTCCAGGTAATTTTTGATTTGAGAGCTAGAACCTTGGCTAAAATGCAGAGTTTAGAGATTGGCCGATAATTATCACAATAAATACGATAAATATTACAAATATAACAAATATTGCTCATCTTTAACAAATCAGCTTTTTCTTCAGATGAAATATATATATATAGTTAATCTAATTATAATCCTGGCAAAATATTATGTCCACAAGATGAAATGGAGTGGAAAAAAATCCCCTCATTTAATATTTCTAAAGAAACTGCTTAGAAACATATAGCCTATTACATATGTGCAAAACTTAATTTAAATAATCAGAAACGTAAAAGCAATAACTCTTAAGAAATTTAACTTTACTTCATAAACAGACCTCTTTATCTTTTTACTTTTCTTTTTCTTTTTGTTGTAACTTAACCTTTATTACATGAATTTGAATGTATTTGTGAGCATTTGTTAAGAAAATAGTGGTTTTTGTATAGATAAAGGTACACATTATTTTATTTTACTCATTTATGTATAAATTTAACTCTTTTTTTTAAAATCTTATTTAGTTTACTTTGTAGCTTGTAAGACCTTTACACCAATTCAAAAAAAATCTTTGGTGTTTTGAAGACATGGAAACATCTTTTAAATGTAAATGTCCTCTTTGAGTCTTTAATCTAATCCGTATCTATAATGGTTTCTATATTCTAAGTTTGTGTAGGGGTTAAAATGTTATTCATTTTTAAATTTCTAAATTACCATTAAATTTTTAAAGTCTCTAAAACCATTCTTTACTTAAAGAAGTAAACAAGCCTATTTTATTATTGGTAATACTGTACTTATAGAATATAATTTTAAAATATTGGAACAAGTTTTTAATGAAAACTTTGTTATTTTTAGGATGCAAACTTTAACAATTGTGTGTTATATTTTACATTTCATGAATAACAGAAAATGCACTGAGATTTAATAATGTAATATACATAAAACTAATAAAGTGCATCTGACTGTTAAACCATTTGGGTAAATGGCGCCCTCTTGTGGCTTTAATGTGAAAAGACAAATTTAATTTGCAACAAACGCCTGGACAGTACATTTATTTAAATGACTTATTTAGATTAATGCGAATTTCAAAGTCACTTTATGCTATATTTTTATTTACATGCAGCTTTTATTTTTGACAGTCAAATGATTAACCAGTATTTCAAGAAACTTGTGTGGTCACAATTTATTCAAGATTTCAAATAAGTTGAGAAAACATAGTTTAAACGTATGAAATAATTAGCCTTGACAGTATTTTCAGAAATAAAAACAAAGAATGTCCACACTCGTTTTTTTAATTTTTTTATTTCATGTTTTTGTATTGAACGCTTTTTGAATATTTCATGTTTCGTTTTTTTGTTCCCAGTTGACCAAAAATAGCTTTTTCACCATTTTTTTTTTTAGAAAATAAACTTTGATATTTACTTTAAAGCAATTCCTCATGATGCCAACAGACTTTTTTTTAATGAAAATGTAAAACTTTAAAAACTTTGTGTGTTTTTGTGAGTTATTTGTGTTCAAAGCGCAAAATTATTCAAACTTTACTTATTGCATAAATATCTGAAAGATGGCACCAGTTCTTTCAAAATTATCCAATTTATTTATCTATTTGTTTATCTCTTAGTTTGCTTTTTGCTACAAAGTTAGAACCAATCAAAACATTCTTTAATAAAATTAATTAATGACAGTTATAACACATTAAAGCACAAATCATTTTATTTAGTAATTTAAGAGCTCATTTTAAAGAAAAATAAGTCACTGGGATATTTCTGCAGTAGTCTAGAGTTCACTTCAAAATAAGAACGAGTCGTGTTTCAATTTCCATCTCTTAAATGTAAAATTAAAAAGGTTACACTTGACAGATTAAAACAAAACGCTTTAAGGGTTAAAACGTTTTAGTAAACATATATTCAAACATAAAGAGCCACTGTTAAGATGACGACTTTCACTTATCCTCTGAATGAAAATTAATAATAAAAACTAGAGAAACTGCATTTCCTGCTAAAATAAAATGTGAACGCTTATTGCTGAAAACAGCTGAATTTCTGTAAGAACGCGCTGAAATTAGCTGAAATGGAAGAACAAGCCTAAGATACAGTAGCAGAAGAAAAAAGAAAGAACACACTAATAAAAAAAGCAGAAATTAGCACAAAAAAAGGAAATTATGTATTAAAAAAAGCAAAAATTAGAGGAAAAACAGCTGAATAGTAGCTAAAAGGTCATAAAGCAGCTTAAATTACCAGAAGGAAGTAGAAAGAGCACAACTGTGCCCACTTAGGCTGAAAAAGCAGAAATGAGCACAAAAATTACGACATTTGCTACAAAAAC